TCGATTTTTAGATCTAGTACCCCTAGAGAACAGCAGTGCTGAGACCATTTGCAATGCCATATTGCAAATCCTTAAAACGAACTCCATTCCTTCTGAGAATATGCTGGCATTCGCGGCAGATAATTGCTCTGTAATGATGGGTTCTATTAGTGGCGTGCAGGCTAGATTAAAGAAAGTTATACCAAATTTGTACGTAAACGGATGTGTGTGCCACATATTGAATTTAGCGTCTTTTGCCGCCGACGAAACGTTTCCAAAAGAAATTGATTTATTTTTGAAAAATATTAACTACCCTTTTTTGTAATAGTTCTCTTAGAAGATCTGACTTCCAAAAATTTCAGGAATATTTTGGAACAGAAATGCATGTTATCCTGAAATTTTACACAACGAGATGGCTTTGTAGGCAAGCTGTTGTTGATCGCATATTAGAGCAATGGGATCCTCTCAAATACTATTTTACTTTATCGAATTTTGAAAACAATCAACGTAACGAAAATGTTTTAAAAATTAATGAAATATTTTGCACGCCTTTATATAAAGTTTATTACATATTTTTATCTTATGTACTAAAAATTATAAACTGCGTGAATTTAGAAATGCAATCTGAAGAAGCACGCATACATGTTTACATACCCAAACTGAAATCTTTAATTTATCAAATAGGTAGAAACTTTTTGAAAAAAACGTACTTGGACGTCACTGAAATATCGAAATTAAACTTTAGTGAAGTAAACTGTCTTTCTTTAGACTCAGTTTTTTGCGGCGTTAACGTAGAACTGTTTTTAGAACAAAACATTTTCGAAGAGAGCGAGATCAGAGTTTTTAAAAACTATGCGAAGAACTATTACATACAATTTTGCGCTACATTAAAAAGTAAAATTAATTTTGACGATGTGGTATTGTCTTGGGCTGCAAAGTTTGCACCAGCTGAAATTTTGAGTGGGGAAACAAATAGCATCGTACCCCTTTTAATGCATCTTTTTCCAAAAATTGAGGTCAGCAAGCTTGAGAAAATCAATACTGAATATAGAGCTCTTGCGGAGCACGAAAACTTAAAAAAATTTAAGAATTTTAATATACGCGAGTTTTGGGAACAAATTAAATTAATTAAAAACGAACTCAACGATCCGATGTTTTCAAACATTTTTAAAATAGCTCAAGGCATATTGTCTATTCCACATTCCTCCGCAAATGTTGAACGTGTGTTTTCTGTTCAGAATCTAATAAAAACTAAATGTAGGAATAGATTACAAGTAAAAACCCTCGGTTCTTTAATAAAAGCAAAATATTATATCAAATCTTCTCAAAGTTTTTGTCATGATGTAATGATACATACAGAGTCTTTAAACCAAAATGTGACTTACGATCTCACAGAAAGTGAAATGCTTGACTAATTTTTATTCTACTTTTAATATATGTATATATGTATATTTTTACTAAATGTTTATTTAAAAGGCGTTAAATAAATGTATATTTGTTTTAACATTCGTCTTTTTTGTGAAAGCGTCTAAAATTTTTTGTTGGTACATTTTTATTTGATTTGGTACATTTTTTTCTGACGTTTGGTACAATTGCGAAAAATTCATTTATCATCCCTGATTTGAAATGGAGTGTGAGCCAAAACACTTCGCTCTTTCAAAGCGAATTGAAATTCAGTTTATACATATGTTTTGAATCGCGGCGAAATGAATTAAAGCGACTTATGCATGCGTATAAACGTAGTATATGGCGGAGTTATATGCATCAAATGTATGCAAATTAGATTTTCAAACGAGCAACTGTTGAATACAGGAAAAATTTTATATTATATAATTTTTTCACACACAAAGCAGAAATTACCGGTCGATCCTCGCCCGCGGAAGCAAAATGTCTACCATGTGGAGAGAAAGCGACGGCGCAAACTTAGTCATATGGCCAGTTAGTGTATAATTTTCCCGTCAATTTTGACCTGGTTCCGCTAAAGTGCACTACTACCGTGTATAAATTGGTCGACCTTCTAATAAATCTTATTGTATCGTCATCGCCGCCAGTCACCAAGAAATTTCCACTTGGGTGAAATGCAACATCATTCTCCGGCGACGAGTGCACTGCATTAGCTCGCCTTCGGCTATGTCAAATATCTTAACGCGGTTACAACTTAATGCTAAAGCCACCGTATGCTAAAGCCAGATCACCGTCTGGATGCCATGCCAGCTGTCGTCCCATACCTCTTCCCCCGGTGAACGTTCGCACACATTCGCCTGAAAATGTATCGCAAATTCTTAACTTGTCGTCGACGCACGATGCAATTAACTTACCATAAGGGCTGAATTTTGCTGCGCGCACCCATTTGTGTGTAAAGTGTAAGATGTGTATTTTGAATTAGTATTTTGATGGCTGTTCGCCATTTTTCTAGTCTGCAAACGAATAAGCTGACGAAGATGCAAACAAATTCAAGCACATTGTTGAATTTTACCGTACTTTTTAAAAGCTTTGAAATCTTAAAACATATGTGAAAAACTTTTATAATATGAATATTTCTAATGTCGAAATCAAACGAAATTTTCTAAATAGTATTTTAAAAAAACAATCATTTCAACCACAAATACTACTAAGTTGTATGAGACTATTTGATGCAACTCAGGTCAAAAAAGCACAGTTTTGACCAAAATAAGCAACTCTATAAAATAGATGATCGCAGCTGTGGCTCAGGATGACGTCTATTGCTAAGATATCTCACTTGTATTTGTACACAATGGTTATAGCAGAGAACGTTTATAACTGAGAAGGCGCATTTTCTCTGTGAACTAATTTCTGCCAGAAATTTTGGGGTGCAGTCGGCCAAATATACCACACGTCGACGAGTGCACCACTCGACCGACGGTGTCGGTAGAGAAGTGTCGGCTGCCACCATACCAAAAATTTTTCCGTGCCACCACACTTTGAGCAAATTTACCATAGTTCAAAGCAAAATGAAAAAATAAGAACGAAAAAGGAAAAAGGAACAGAAATATAATAAGCACTAGGCAGAGGGGATGCTTGCGGAGGCAGGCGGGTGCTTGTGTCGGATCAAAACAAACTCTAAATATGATATTTGCGTGAAATCGATTTGCTGGTTGCAAATTCATTTTTGCAAACATGTATGAATTTTTCTGTTTCAGCTATGTTGATGAGATTTTCTAAGTCAATTTTTTCGACTTTTTTCCGCAATTATCTAAAGTCATGTAAAGTGGAACTTTTTCAATAAAACCATTTCATTACAATTTAATGAAACATATGTATGTATGTATGTATATATTTACTTATGCACATACACATATATACGTACATACATATACATATCTATGAATTGTAGCAATTCATTAAATTGCATTAGTGTATGCATGCGCAGTCGGCTAATTTTTACATTTCCATTTGCCGACGGCATTTTGCATGCGCAAGAATTTCCTGGTGCTAAAAAATTGATGTACAAATAAAAGCGTTGTAAAAATATACTTACTTATGTAATATACATACAATTATGTTGACAAATTTAAGTTATTTTAGGTAATATTTTTATTTTATTTTTCAATATAAGTTCTTAAACTATGTACATACAGATAAATTCAGAGTTTAAAAATCTAAAAGAAAATAAGAAATATAACAAAAATAAATCCTGAAATGAAACAAATTAAAATTGTTTTTCTACAACTTTAGGTTGGACACGAATTACGAATATGCCTTCTCATATGAAGACAAATTCTCACACGATCATTTAAGATCATTTTTATTTTTCACCAGTTTTTAATACCACGATTCAATCCACTCGGTTGAAATTGTACGGTAATAGTTTAAAAACTTGGCTCGTGTGTGCAAGTGAAAATTAACCACCTACATACATATGTAACTACTAACTCAATCAACATATATATGTATGTAGGTATATTATTCTACTTAAAAGGCATGCACTACTCTACTACTACTACGGTTAATTACTACAAAATTTAAAATGTTAGAAAAAAAAGAAATATACGAAAAAACCCAAGGGAATATCTGAAAATAGATAAGAAAAAAAATAAAAATTAGATTTCATATTCAATTTTATAAGAAAATATCTGAAAATAGAAGAAAAATATCTGAAAATAGAAGAAAAAATCTGGAAATAGAAGAAAAAAAGCTGCTGCCGTCGCATGATGCCTCCAATTTCATGGGCTCTTAGCTTGCAATTGAAAATGCCATTTCGTTCAATCATTTTCTTTTTTTTACATTTAATCTTTTTAATTTATTCTGTTTAAGACGCTCCATGTTTGCTTGGGCTTCATCCCCAGCCAACCATTTCGCGTTTTTAAACAGTAATCGGTTACCATGGAATTCAGAAGTTGCTTTCGGTGCTCAAAACAATCTCCGGCTTCTGAAAACCATTCCGAAAATTCTTCATTTGTTTTTTTAATAAGCGCGTTAACAATTTGTTCATGAATTCCAACTGAATGAGCATATTTCTGAAATAAATGCTTATACCATGCCATCTGCATGCGCAATGTTTCAAATACCCACTCAGTTGGATTAATTAGTCTCACATCAGGACATTCTTTATAATTCTTAGCTCGGATCAAGGCTTCGGAATAGTCTTTCAGTTCGCCTGGAGTTTTCACCATCGCGTCAATACAAGTTTTATATTGCGACTTTGACAATAATTTTTGGTAAATGGTATAACCTGCGTAGTACCTTTGCACCTGGATTTCTGCTGATGCCCCTTCCGCGAGAGCAAAGTGCTCTTCAGGAATGTCAATATCCCAAGAAAATTGCTCTTCTGGAATATCGACATCCATCGCAAGTTGCTCTGAAGGTCCTAAATTGTCTTTCAAGGAATCTTCATCAGCAATATTCCAATCCAGGTTCAAATCTTCATCATCTTCGCAGTTTGTACCTTTTTTTATCAAATTTCCGTCTCAAAATTTTCATAGAAATTAAGCGAGCAACAATGTACTGAATTTCATGGCCCGATGGATGCGTATTAATGCCCTGAGTTGCGCGGATTTTATAAAAAAAGTTCTCAAGGGCATCTTGATTCAATTTTCCCAACAATATAAAATTTAAATCTTTGCAATTTTCAAAGACATCTTGACTTAAATTAATCATAGAATTAATGGTTAAAGTAAACCACCAAAACACAAGGAATTTATATTATTGGGAAGTTGAATCGACGAAATGAATTTAATGTGGTCCTTAAGCCTGTTAAGCTTGTCTACAGAATCGCGCCAAATTGGACCCTTGAATGGGTTTTTATTATTTAATCTCTTACAATCGAGCTCATCGAACAAATCATTCATGCGCTTTACAAACAACTGAGTCGGCTTGCCACATTTGAGGGTGTATTCATCAGACCCTAGCAACCCTTGTTTCTGCGCCATATCAATGCCTGCAGCTACCGAATTACTCAATAGCTGCGTCGCTCGGGATACGCTCATTTTTTCAAAATTATTGGGGTAAATATGCGAAGCTGTAAGCTTAGGACATACCTTGAAGTTTACATTCGCTTTATCTACCGAATATAATTGACGAATGACTTTACCGCTCGCGATGCCATCGACAGTTTTCAAATCGTGCTTTAATAAGTTATTCCGAACCGATTTAATTAAGTGGCAATAGTCGTAAAGACAGTGAATTTTATTTGAATTGAAAATAAAGAACGGATTTTCCGCGGAGACATTTAAAAGTTTAAAAAGACGAACGTTGGTTGGGCCTTGATCGCAGACGATGGCTTTGACGCTTAAGCCGAGGCCTTCAACCGTTTTAATATTTTCCGTTAAGGATTCTAAAAGATTTGAAGCCAACATACCGCCTTTTACCATATAATAGGAAAGGACATATTTCCAATCCGCCGCGATGGCTTTCACCATGAAAAAACAACATTTGTCGGCGACATTGAGGTCGCGATTACCGTCGCCAATATCCACGAAACCGTCAATAATATCTCTACTTTTATTATAAACGAGATCTTTTTTAATGGAAATTTCGTCGAATAAAATTTCGCAAAACCGCTCGGTGGGAGACATTTCAGAAACGACATATTTTAAATTTTCTATTACTTTAAAATCTATACCTGGCGATACATATTTAATAGGGCGCCATCGCAAAAGCGATTTTTTGTGAGGAAGTGAAAACTTCAAGTCATCGCGCATAAAATTATAGGCTTTAGTCGACATGTAATTAATATTTTGAAATAAAGTTTTATCCGTGTCCGTGTAGGAACTAACCGACCGTACTATCATTCTAGCAAAATTTAAAGCGTCAACGCTACAATCGGGCGAAGCTATTATCGCGTGTGTTTGCAAACGAGCAATTTGTTGCTTTAACGCGACGTTTTCGTTTTGCAACTCTTCAATACGTATGTCCTGCTCTTTCGCGTTACCCTG